CGCATGACCCTGGTCCTCGTGGTGGCACTGGCCCTACTCGGGTCCGCAAGTGCCCAGCGTGCCTCCAGGCTGCAGCAGATGGTCAGAGGATTCGTGGACGACATGAGTGACATGGCCTCGAGGATTGGCACGGGCATGCTCAAGTAAGTGGCTGTTGGTTCTGCAAAGTAACAACGGTACTGCGAGTAAGGGATGATAAGCATGGGTATGTAGAAGATAGGTTAAAAGGTAAATATCTGATCAGCCGAAAATACAATGACATTCCTCGCAATAATGGCGATGCTAATATCTGCAACGATGGGTGCCTCTCCACCATGTCACTGACTGACTCTGTCCCTCGCGCCAGGTCCTTCAACAGCCGGCCAGGAGTGGCACGGGAGAATCGCCCCGCTCTCCCCGGCCGCAAACGCCAGCGCCCTGTGCCCCTCGATGACCTCCCGGCCCGCCAGTCCAGCGACAACTTGGTAGCTCCCAACGACCCTCAGCGCCCCCGCCCTGTGCTACGTCAGGAGCGCCCTCGCCTGACCTTCCGCCAGTTCGTGGACGGCACCATGGCCGGACTCAGGAACTTCTTCCCCAGGCTCACCCGCCGAAACTTCCACCGCAGTGCTCGCGACGTGCAGGTAAGCCCTCCGGACTACGTCCCTCCGGCCTACACCCCTCCTGACCTTAGCTATGACAGCGGGACCTTTGACCTCCATCCTGACCCAATCTATGTCCATCAGCCGAGCCCCTCTCAACCGACAGTTCAGGTCACAGTTAATGTGTATAACGACCAAAATCCGACTACCCAAGACAAGGACGTTCCTGACGCGGCGCCCGCTCACGTTCCCGAGTACAACTTGACCGTAACGCAGCACAGCAATCACTCCTTCTCGGTGACTCATACTTCCAAGAAGACCGATGAAGGGAAAGGACAGTCACAGCAAGCGCTTTACCCGACGACTGAGCGCACTGTCTCAAGTTATGTCAGGAACTTGCACGCGTCTCCCTCGAACACCTACAGCGTTCGACGGTCAGCTTTTTCCCCAGAAGCAGAATGGCACCCTGAGCGGCATCAACGAAGCGAGGAAAACGTGTCTCCTGAGCAGATGCAGTTCGGAGCTCAGAGTCTTGACATGATTTACGGGTATTATTTCGGTGACGAAAATAACGGGCAAAGACGTGACAATAAACCACTTGGCTCTTTCAGACGGCAGCACGTTCACTTTAACCGTAACGTGAATGACAGGCAAGACTTTGACGCAGCAGATGGAGGGCAAGGGTACACAGACGGGTTCCTTCATGGCTTTAATCAGGGGTTTGAATCTGGTGTAAAGGTTAACAGCAATAGAGGGCCTTCTAATAATAACAAAGATCCGATTTACAATCAGAATAGCAATGCCTTTAATACGATGGGCTCTAATGGTAACAGTGGTTCCAACAATAACTTTCCAACTCAGTATAATAATAACAATAATCCTAGCTATAACGGCCAAGTTAGCAGTAGCAATAGTATGGTGAGCCAGTTCTCCGAGCCAGACGCAGAGGGAACTGGGACAGCGGGATGCGGAGTTCGCTGTCTTTGGGACGATCTAATGAACACTCTCGATCATTACAGCAATAATGGAGGCACTGAGGCCAGCAAGGTGACGGGAGCTTCGCCCTCAGGAGGGGTCGAGGGGCATGTGGTGCACCAGCAACATGGGAGCGGGGATGCCTACCAGGGGCCTTCCAATGTCCCTCAAGCTGCCCTCAACCCATACACTGGTAACGCCGATAGTAACACGCCTGGTGTCAGCACTGTAAATACCAAAACACAAAATACAAACTCGTACCACCAAAGCATGAGCAACGGCCGAGGACCTTCGCAACGCCAGCAAGGTTTTGGTCATCGCGGCCGCCCTTTCGGCAACCGGCGCCCATCGTCAGCAACACCTCCGTTTCACCGTCAGAGAGACGAGCTGCTTCCTCCTGGTCCGCCCTACTCCTCCCACAGTTACGGCCCGGGTTTACATGATGGTCGTATCTCCAGCGGGGTAGGTGGTCAGAACAGGGAGCAGCAGTGGAACTTTCGTAGGCGCTGGGACACTCACAAAGGCAAGAGAATTTAAGTCTCCTTAAGACACCCACATCCAGTCTACCACACATACACTAAGCAAAATAATGTACACTTGTCATATATGCACTGATTCAATATGTACTACAAACACACCTTGAGAATACATCCACTGTACATTTAGTTCTTACGGCGCCTAAAACATATATGTATCAATGCATATACACCAGTACATTAATACATTTATATTTCTGATACACACACAAACATGTGAAAACCTGCATCCAGAAAAATATCAGTTGACTGTGCGCCAACTTACATCAGCACATCAATATATACTATATTGCATTTCATAACATAACCTGACATAACATCTGGATTTACACTAAAAGACACACACAGTTTGAGACACAGACATCGATCTACACTCGGGCAAGACACACACCCACAGACACACACACA